GGTGACCACTTTCACCTCTCTGAGCAGATCAGGTTATTTTGGCATTACTTTCGTATTTATATAGAGCCTGCTAGATTTCTACGTCTTGATTTTTGAGTTTTAGGCGTTATTCACAAACTTTTCCCTATAGAAGCTGAGACATTTATTTTTCTTTCGGCATATACTCTTCCCCTAATCAAACCCACAAAACAGTTCCAGGCCCTCATCTTCCCAATAAAATTACATCATAAACTATCAGAGTTACCTATTATGGTTATATACATACTAAGTGTTATTTTCTTTCCTACCCACCCGACTTTTGTTTTCACTGGAATTAATAACTATCTTGTTTTAATTTGCTTGGTTTTTCTGTACACCCCAGACTCTCCACCAACCGTCTAAACCAGCAGTTCTCCAGAGTGTGGCCTGTGGGCTCCCGGGGTCTCTGAGACCCTTTTGGGGACCCATGAGGTCAAAACTATTTTCACAGCAGCTCTCAGGCACTATGTGCCCCACTCCGAGTGCGGGCGTTCGCCCCGATGGCGCAAAGGCGTCGGTGGGGGAAGTGCGGCTGTTCGGCAGGGGTCAGCCCTGGCCGCAGGGGGCACCAGGGCTCGGGGTGCTTATCGTCACCGTCACCATACACTCGCTGGGAGAGAAAGCGAGGCCACGTCTGATGAAGTAGTGAAAGTTACTCACTTTATTATGTCTCAGCCCTCAAGTACTTGTTTTTATCTCTTATGCCGAATGCCCAAGTCAGATGAGCACCTTGAGGAGAAGCACTTATATAACTGTGAGTTGTGAGCTGAACGGCTTGCTTTTTTTTTTTTTTAAACGGGATACCTTTTTTACTTGAGGGAACAACTGACACACACACTATGGTTATTTGGCACTTCAAGGAAAATAGCTGACATTATTTATTGCCAGTGATAAAATCTGAACTTTCACAAAAGTTAGAATTTTGGAAACCTTGTATCTGACACACAATATGCACATTTCCTAGTACTTAAAGACTTGCCTAAGATTGGTAGTGATATTAACAAATGTGATTTCTTGATATATAATGAAATGAAGACACATTTAGAAGAGCAGCATAACAAGCCAATATTTTAAAAACATCTAAATGTCTAAATATGTAATAAAAAATCATGCATGGGTGAAAGCTCCATTCAGAATGTAAACGGACCAACAGATTTTAATGTAACCCAGTAAAAAACCTCAGCTGGTACTATAGTAGTCTGCTAGGGCTGCCGTAGCATACCGCAGACTGGGTGGCTTAAACACAAGACATTTATTTCTCTCATTTCTGGAGGCCAGAAGTCCAAAATCAAGGTGGCTGCGGATCTGGCTTCTCGTGAGACCTCTTTTCCTGGCTGGCAGCTAGGTGGTCCACCTTCTCCCTGTGTCCTCACAGGTCGGGGGGTGAGTAAGCTCCCCGGTTTCTTCACAGGATACTAACCTGTCAGATCAGGGCTCCACCCTTACAACCTAATTAACTTTAATGATCTCCTCAAAGGCCCAGCCTCCAAATATAGTCACATAGAGGATTAGGGCTTCAATATATGAATTTGAGGCGTGGATATAGTTTCAGATTCTGGATTGGAATTGTTTTAAGAAACTACCGTCAAATTCTGGTGCAGCACAAAGATAAATGAATATCTGCAATTATTTTTAAAAAGCTATTAAAATACTCCTTTCTCTCCAACTACCTATCTGTCTAAAGCCAGATTTTCTTCATCTACTTCAACCAAAAGAAGTATCCCAGCAGGCTAAATGTAGAAGCACATGCGAGAGCCCAGTTTAATGTCTTCGCTAAGGCAGACGCGAGAGTTACAAACATGTAAAACAGGTTTTCTCCTAATTTTGATTTAGAACATAGTTATTTTTCACAAAATGTTATTTATGTTATTGAACTGAATGTATTACTTTAGTTAAAATAAGTAAATGTTTAAAATTTAATCGGTTTCGATTTCTAACAGGGTAAGCAGTGGTAACCCACATAACAGCTCTTTGAGGGGCTCAGTAATTTTTTAGTGCAACAGGCCCCGAGACCAAAAAGCTTGGTAAATGCAAGTCTAAATCATCTCCCAAGAAATTCAGACATGAAGCTATTTCAGCTATTTCATTTCCGCAAAGACATCTCTCCTGGAGCTTTCTGACTCGCTCCAATCTGCACCTGCTGTCTTCTATGCCACATAGAGGTTGTGCCCTAGCAACTTTCTTCACTGTCACTAACTAGGTCAGGTGTCAGAAAATTACGGCCTGCAGGCCAGATCCTGCCTGCCACCTGTTCGTTAAGTAAAACTGTACTGGGCCACAGCCACGCTCATTCAGTGACGTGCTGTTGTCTTTACTGCTCCAACAGCAAAGCTGAGTAGCTGCGACGGAGACCGAACGGCCTATAAAGCTAGAAATACTTAGTATTTGGTCCTCTACGGGAGAAGTTTGCTGACTTGTGATTTAGCTGATTTTTTCACTTCTTTCTTATGTTGGTTGGTTGGTTTCCTGAACCCCATGTCTTCCTCCTTCTTGATTTACTCCTTAATTTAGGTGAAGGACGTCTTCTGGTAGCTTCTTTAGAAAGGGTGTATGAGAGGTTCATTTTTTGGAGACCATGCATGTCTGAAAATGCCCTTTTCTACTCTCACGTTTTACTGATAGTTCAGCTGGGCAAAGAATTTTAGCATAGAAATCAGTGTTTCAGAAATTAGAGAGCTCTGCTTCATTGTCATCTGGCTTCTACAGTTAGGATATGAAAGTCTTAAATTAGTCTGAGTTCCGATCTACTGTACTTGACTTTCTTGTTGGTTTGTTTTTTAACTCTCAGAAGCCTATGGGACCTTTTCTGTGCCCTTCTGTTCTGATATTTTATGGCCATGTGGCTTGGGGGTAATGTGTCTCCACCACTATTCTGGGTAGTGGGCTCTTCAAACTAGGAAGTCTATCCTCCAGTCTGCGGGGGCGGGGGGCGGGGCATGTCCTTGAAATGTTTCTTTCCCCTCTGTTGTTGTTGTTGCTGTTTGTTTCTTTATTTCTGGAATATTTATTGAACAGATGTTGGATATCTTGGACTGGTCCTATAATTTTCTTAACCTTTTCTCTTTCTGGGACAATTCTTCCACTTTATCTGTCCACTGGAAGTTTGAATCTTTAGTTTCTTCTACTGTGTTTTTAATTTCCAAGAGCTCTTTTTTCCCCCCACTGAATGTCTCCTTTTTTATGTAGATCTTGTGAGATGGATGCTTTCTTTTAGAAACAATTCTCTGAAGACATAAATAGTTTCGTTTCCCTGTATGGTCTGTTTTGTCCTAGTTGCTTTTTTTGTTTTGGTCTTCCTATACCATGCTAGAGGCATTCCTCTTGGTTGTCTCTTCAAATATGAAATGAAATACTAAAAGACTGCTTTTTAGTGAAATCCTAAAAAGCTCTGCTTGCGTGAGTGAAGCTGACTGTCTGTCAGCCTCACTGTGGGGAGGTACAGCTGGGCTGTTAGTTCAGAAACCCTGAGGGCACTACCTTTAAACCTGCTTCACTACTGAGATTCCTCAGAGAACTCTTCCCATCGCCTGACTCAGGTGTAGGGCTCAGCTACCAGAATTTTGGGGCTGGCTGGGAAAACCACCAGGGTTCTGAACATTTGGTGTGCCAGCGTTCACTCAGCCTCCGCTAAGGGACTGCCACCATCACGTGGGTTTGGTGTCCCCTAGTTCAAACACCCTTTACTTTATGCTGTCCAGAGAATAAATTTCTGGTCTTCTTCTAAATTATGGGAGGGGCAATCTTTTAAATAAACTTTCAGTCAGTAGAGTTAGCCTTATCTTCACCTGACTCTCTCCCATTTTACGGAGTTCGCTGGTGCTGTTGGTGTCTGGATTTCTTTAGGGTTCTGCTGTGTAAATTGGGTTGTTTCTTGGCTTTCTCTGTTGCTGGCACAGGATTCAGCTTTCTCAGGACTGCTAAGTCAGTTACCACTCATCCATCTGCTTCCCAGCTTCCAAGGTTTTGTTGCCGTTGTCTCCTCTCCCATTCTCTTTGTCCTTGTGGGTTTATGTCTTTTAAAAAAATCTCTTCACTGTTGTTTTAGTGAGGTTTTGGGAGGGAATGAAAGCAAATGTGGGTATTTGATCCTCCATCTTTATTTGGAACCTCTTAATAATTAAGTATCTTTTTTTTACTTTCATTTACTTTTATAACGTAAACATTTCCCACATTCTTACATGGTCTTTGTAGCAGCTTTAGTAATTGTATGACATTCTATTGAGTCAGAACCATAGCTTACTCGGTCATTCCCCTAGTTTTGAGTGTTTTGAGTTGTTTCTGTTTGGGCGAGGGAACTAGTTTTTCCTCGAGTCATCTTGGATTTATTTGTCCCATTTATTCCCTCTATTTAGGGAATACTTGCTGACGTTCTTCACCTCACTGTTCACCACCTTTGCCTCGATTGTGGCGCTGCCTTGGGCAAATCTAATTCAGCTTTAAACCACCAGGTCATCTGCACAATGATGCAGCACTCAGCTTTCCACACACCTTTCTCATGACACTTCAGAGGAACCCCAGCATGTACAATTCCCTTGTGACCGACATTGGTGTGTGGCTCCCCCTCGTCTGAATCCGCCCCACTAACCCACACTCGCCACCCTTTCCCTGAGTGTCCTCCCGCGGACAGGACCCACTGTCCTCACTGAAGCTCAGGCAGCTCCTCTCGCCACTGCCTATCCCGTTCACCTTCGCCTACGCACCTTCTCTGCTGCACTAAGCCGCCCCACATGCCTTTGCTGACACAATAGCTTCTTTCCCCTGATAACAGGCAAGAAACAAGGGACTCATTTCTTAGGGTCAGTCTTGCCTTTTAAATGGACTGACTGCTTTTCGGAGGAAGAAGCTCTTATGCTTTCACTCTACGACGGCTGCCCCTGTCCTGCCTTCTCATACCACTGCGGGATTCCGGCCCAGTGCCAGGCATACAGTGGGGGCTTAACAGGGACTCACTGAATGGAATGGACGCAAGTGTAAACTGTTACCTTGCCCTCCGAAGTCAGGGTCCAGATCACGGAGAAGGTCAGCTTGTCGGTCATGGGATTGAGGCTGCACAGCTCCTCACACAGCACTCTGGGAAGCATGGGCACCACCTGGAAACAGAGAGCAGGCCCCTGAGCACCGTTCTACAGTCTGTAGGGCTTTACACAGGCTTAGCAGTGCCCCAGACAGCAGAGTTTTGAGGAACAGCTTGCACACTCACAGAGCTAAAGACAGAAGCAGCTCTTTCCCCAAAGACCCCCAGAAAGACCACATGGCCTGACACTCTTCCATGAGCCTCTATAATCAAATGGGAATGTGAGCTGAAAGGTAAGAATTGGTAACGGAAAAAAAAATACATTAGAGCAATGAAAAACAACTACATTTTACTACAATACTAAAACTGAAGCTCTAGACTCAAGAGTGACTTGTACTTTAAAATAGAGCTATTCCAGCTGAACAATATAATAGAAAATCAAGGTCTTACATTTAAGTCTTTAATTCATTTTGAGCTAATTTTTATGCATGGTTTAAGTCAGGAATGTACTTTCATTTTTGTTGCATGAGGCTGTGCAGTTCCCCCAACTTTTATTGAAAGAGACTATCCTTTTCCTATTTGTGCATTCTTGGCACCCTTGTCAAAAATTAGTTGAAAATATATGCTTATTTCTGGGCAGTCTATTCTGTTCCATTTGTTGATGTGTTCATTTGTGCTAGTACCATACTGTTTTGATTATTATAGTTTTGTAAAATATTTTTAAATCAGAAACATGATGCCTCTAGCTTTGTTCTTCTTCCTCAAGATTGCTTTGGCTATTCAGGGTCCTTTGTGGTTCCATACAATTTTTAGGATAGTTTATGTTTATTTTTGTGCAAAATTTGATTGGAATTTTGATAGGGATTACACTGAATTTGTGGATCACTTTGGATGGTATGGGCATTTTAACAATACTAATTCTTCCAACCCAAGAATAGGTTATTTTTCCACTTATTTGTGTCTTTGTCGATTTCTTTCATCAATGTCTTACAGTTTTCAGTGTACAGGTCCTTCACCTCCTCAGTTAAACATATTCTTAAATATTTTATTATCTGTGATGCTATTGTAAGTGGGATTGCTTTCTTTATTTCTATATCACCTCACATCTGTTATGATGGCTATATCAAAAAGACAAGAGATAACAAATGCTGGCAAAGATGTGGAGGAAGGTAAATGCTTGTACATTGTTGGTGGGAACATAAATTGGTGCGGCCATTATGGAAAAGAGTATGGAGGTTCCTCAAAAAATTAAAAACAGAACTACCATATGATCCAGCAATCCCACTTCTAGCTGTATATCTGAAGGAAACAGAATTAGTATCTTGAAGGATATCTGCATTCTTATGTTCATGCCACAATAATACAGTCTTATCCACAACAGTCAAGACATGGAGACATGGAGGTGTCCATTGATGAATGAATGCACTAAAAAATGCAATATACGTGTGTGTGTGTATATCTCAGATGAATGGCTAAAAAATGTGAGCTACACACACAACACATACACACAGACACAGGAATATTATTCAGCCATAAAAAGAAGGAAATCCTGCCATTTGTGACAACATAGATGAACCTGGAGGACATTAAGCTAAGTGAAATAAGTCAGAGAAATACGAGTACTGTATGGTATCACATATATGTTAAATCTTAAAAAAAAAAAAAAAAAAAAGAAAGCCCATTCCATAAACAGAAACAAAGAGTAGAATGGTGGTTGCCAGGGGCTGGGTGGCAGGATGGGGAGACAGGAGCAGAGGGATGTAGGTCAAAGGGTGCATACTTTCAGTTATGCATATCATAAGATGAATACATTCTGAGGATCTAAGGTACAGCGTGGTGACTCCAGTTGATAACAAGAAAATGTACACTTGAAATTTGCTGAGAGCGTATCTTACGTGTTCTCTCACCATGCACAAAAAGAGTTAATTACATGAGGTGATGGATGTGATAATTATCTTGATCTTAGCAATCATTTTACAATGTGTATGTATATGAAATAATCACATTGTACATTTTAAATATATACAATTATATTTGTTAATGATTCTTCAATAAATTGGGGGGGAATCTAAGGGCTAAGTATAAACTCGTGACAGGATTTCATCAAGTAAAATTGCTGAATAGATGTTTTAGTAATTGAACATAACACGACTGATCAAATCACATGTTGGAACATTAATAGATATTCCAATGAAGTATTCCTGAAAGGTTTATAAATCCAGGTTCCCTAGATGAATGCTATTGTCAACTAGTCACTGATTTTGCAGTGCTTTAAGCCTAAATTATTTTTTCCTTTTACTGATCTTTCTATCCCATAATGAACTGATTTCAGTGGTATACCCTCTTTAATTAAAAAAAAAATTCTCTTCAATTTGCCTTCAAATGATGACTTACATCCATCCCAGAATGTTCCCTGTTTTCTCTAAAATTTCAGAGATGAAATGGGTTTCTTTACCTGGACCTCCTGAAGATGCTTCAAGCTCTCCCCCCTTCCTTTGAATGTATCCCTTCTCCCAGTTTTCTGGATTAATGGCATTACCATTCACCCCCCTCTCAAACTAAAAACTGCAGCATGAACAACCATTTATTCACCACACTGCAGACCTGCTTGATTTGCACTGAAATGCAGGTGACATGCAACCCCACGTGAAGCAGCTGAGGAGTAACAGGCAAGAGGGGCCACTATGCACTAGTTGGATAAAGTTAGCTAGTTAAGTGTCTGTATCAGCAGAAGCAAGCAAATCCCAGTGGTTTCTTATTCTGTGCAAAGTGCCTGGACCTGTACCATTTCAGTACAGTAAAAAACCTTTGGTAAGGAAAAATAAATTCTAGACCTCACAGCCTACACCAGTAACAAATAATTAGGAACTAACTATATGGCATTTCTTGGCATTATTCTAAAGGATGCCATATCTTTTTAACACCTATGTAGAATCTAATGCCCTAGTGAAAATGTCTGGTAGCAGCTTTTATAAGATAACCACTTTTGAAATTTTTTTTCTCATCATTGCTTTTGCACCGTCTATTCAGATACTACTATATTTTCTTTAACATATTTAATGAATATTAAAATGTGATCTAAATATTAAACATTTTCTTGCATGTATCAAGTGTTTTACAAAGCAATACATTTTCACCTCTATAAATATGCTGAACAAAATGGAGCAAGCTTCAGTACCTTATGGTGTCATGACAGAATTGTAAAGAGTTTACAAAATTTCAGCCTTTGGACTGTTGAAGCCCTGTCCCTCAATTTGACTGCATTTGGAGGTGAGGTCTTCAGGAGGTGATCCAGGTTAAATGAGGTCATAGGGTGGGTCCCTGATCCGATAGAAGGAGATAACCTCCTCCCTGCCCGGCACACACACACAAAAGGCCAAGTGAGGACAAAGCTGTCCACAAGCCAGGAAGAGTCCTTAGTAGGAACCAAATTGGCTGGCACCTTCATCTGGGAGTAACAGCCTCCAGAACTATGAAACATTAAATGTGCGTTGTTGAAGCCCGGTCTATAGAATAGTGCATGGCAGTAGGAGCTGAGTAAGACAGGCCAACTCAAGTCTGTGGGGGTGCGCTCGTGGATTCTCCTCCGGGCTGCATTACCAGGTAATTACATATAAAAACTGTATTTTGGTAGCAGCCTGCTAACCCTGCAGACATGTAGTCCACGGCTTAATACCTTGTTTACAGATAGTTAGGATTTCTTCTAAATGTGCAAGGCAGTGTTTGACTGTAAACCACCAAGCTGAGTATCTGAGAATGTAACACATCTCCTGACTTCACGTGTCAGTGTTTGTCAAGAGAAAGTCACTGCAACTAAATGCAAAGGGGTACCCTGGACTGGATCCTGGACAGAAAGAAGACACTATAAAGTACGGATTTTCATTAATACTAATGTTCTGATGTCTGCTTCTCAGTTATAGCAATGTACCCTGGTAACGTTAAGATGTTTACATTGAGGGAATTGGATGTGGGACCTCTCTGTACTGTTATTGCAACTTCTCCATAAATCTAAAATTACTTCAAAATGGAAGCGCTTATTACAAAGAAAGCCACTGTTTTTATTTGTTGACCTAAATGCCATACATTTAAATGTGGAAGAAATTTGTGTTAATCAATACAACCAGGTCTGTTTTCATATATTGGAGTTTGGCATCAAGATTTTATTTGCAAAAAGGCAAATTGTCCAAAAATCTATTAACCAACAGAGTGAAGTCCAGGCTCATTTTTTGAAAGAACTGCCCAAAGATCATTAAACAAGAGCAAGGTCCACACTCATCACGGGCACAGTGCAGGAAAGAGCGCAAAGGTTTCAAAGCCAGACAGACTTGTGGTCTAACCCCAGAGTCTACCACCTTCTGTACAAGCTGCGCGAGCTAGTCTAGTTCTCTGGGTATTGGTTTTCTTATTAGTAAAACAATATTGAAGATGCCCAACAAAGCCAGCTTGATGGCCACCCCACGGCCTACTAGGTCTTTGGTCACCGGGCTCAGCCTTCCCCCGAGCCTTTGCCCTGGCGCTCCCTCCCGCACCTGACCAGAGCCATGCTGACCTGCTCACTGATCCAGCTCTTATTCCCTCTTTCTGGAACATCTGTATGGGTGTTTTACATCTGGCCACATTCAACTCATCACCATCTCTAAAAGGCTGACACAGAGTCGCTCAGGTGGAGTGTGCACTGTGTTCCGTGTACGCGCCCACCCCACCTGATCTTTCAGAAGGGACTGCAGGCGGTCCTAAGCCGTTAGTCACTGAATCCATCCTCCCTGCTCTTCCACGCTCCTTCTGTGGCTCTAGCACACTTGTCCTAATTGTTTCTTTACGTGTCTCTCCTCTCCGCGAGACCACGCGATCTTCAGGAATGAGGACCAGCTCCTGTTCCTGTCTCTCTCTCTGGCACCTGACACACAGCAAGCACTTCTGGTTGGCAAATGATTGATGTGACCTTTGCCCAGGAAATGAATAATCTATCTTTTTCTGTGTTTACTGTTTATTGCATCACATGGAAGACTTTATGAAATACATGGTAGACTTCTACTTAACATCTTTACAAAAGATTTTCATAAGCACCTAGCACTT